GGAAAATGGTGCCAGCTCCAATTTTTGTTCAACCTGATGATTCAGTGGTTCTATGGAGAGCTAGAAGATGTTTATCAAGCAGTGTTCAGCCTACTTTTGCAACACCAACACCCTTGGCCCTGATCTGTCAGCTATTTCTGTTTCTGTTTCTGCTCCTCCTACTCATAGGGCGATATATTGTTATGGTCATACCACCCAAAGTCCAGTGAATCATGGTGTATTCATGATTATATTAAGTGACTGATTTGAGCCCAAACCAGGTCTTGAAATGACTTGTCACTTTGAATAAAGTCTCAAGTTGTTACTACAACTCTCCTCTTAAAAACCGAGGTCTCCATCCATCAAGATGGCTGTATTTGACATGCTGCCTGTAATACTAAGATTAATGAAGGGTGGCGCCAAGTCATTGTCATGGATCATGATCAGCCATGTCACTGTCTCTGTCGGTTCATCAATTTGCAATAACCAGGTGAAATGAGTCCTTCACACTAGATGCTAGACTGTTCTGCTTGCATATCTGAAATGACTGTGATAGATATTTCAGCTAAAGCAGCGATTGCGAGCTGTATTCAGCTTTCAGGGACTGGTGATTCTTCTGCAGCATCGGTTTTGTTTCTGCTGCTCCTGTGAGAGTGGTTTAAAAGGCAGAGTATGCAGGAGACAGAGGATCAGATAAGCTATGACAGTGTTTTAACTGCAGGGATTACCTTACCTGGCGGATGTCAACACTTGGTCCTGCAACAATCACATCTTCCTCTGGTATAAATCTGTTTAGACATCCAAAAATGTATCCAATTGCAGCCTAATTTTCTGTGACACTTGAAGGTGTGAGATTGGTCCCTTGTTTCAGAAACATCTGATCCAGGGTCCTCAGTGTATAAAGACCTCCACATCTGTCCCTCAGAAATATTAGTCTATAATAACCTTGACAACTTCTTGGAAAGACTTCTACTCTCATGTCTGAGCCACTGCAGTCTCGTCCACTTACAGACTCAGATATATTTGCTCTGAAAGAGTTTCTCCTCCAGACAGCAGTTCAATTTCTGGGACATGGTGAGAAATCAACTACTTATATTGAATAACACTATTCATCTGGTCAGGCATATACAGTGGACTTGTAATGATCGTGCTCTATAGCCTCTGGTAAGTGACACTAGTGTAATCTGAACATGCTGATACGGTAAAAGGACAAACAAAGCTCAATTGCCTGCACGGCGCATTCTTATTGTTGCAACAATCAGCATGTTTCTGGCTAGTACAACACAGCTAGCTATAGCTCTGGCCTACTATCTCATTCAGCTGCTAACTGCGGGATTTGACCCTCCCAATGTTGAGGGGACACTAATCTACATGAATATTCCCAGTGATGCCCTAGTAAGATTGAATGTCAGTCCAGCAAGCCAATCCTTTTTTCATGGCTGAATCTGGATTCATCTCAGTATCTCATTGGTGAATCCATTGTGGTGTGGAGGGCCTGGGTTCTTTGGACCAACCATTCACGGGTGCACAAATTACTGATTGTCTGTCTAGTTGGCAGCTTTGGTAAGTGTGTGACCAGTTTGATGCATTCTGCTCAATAAGTTTCAGTTGGTGCATCTGCCGACCTTATTTTTTCCATACTATATGACTTGTCGCTGTTTTCAAGCACTCCAAGATTTCCACCGACTGGCCTACGGACGTTGATTCTAACATTATCACTATTTTTGACAAATTCTGTTTCCACTCTTTTAATGGGTTACAAAGTCTGGTATGTGTGGTTATTTCACTGCTTACCCAACTACTCTCATGAGACAACAAGGGAATATAAAGTAGAAATCAAGCGGAATCTTGGTCTCTCACAAAACAACAGAACCAAGGTTGAAAGGGTGTTGATTCTTTTAACAGAATCTGGCAGCATTTACTGCCTTCTTTGGGTGAGATTTTCATGCAACCAGAAAGCTTAATTGCATATTTATATGATTTCCTACAGCTAAGTATGCTAGTCTTTGGTCTGGAAAGCTCAAATAATGACTCGCTTTCCTACGAAATCATCACAATCATCCTACCTCAAATTGTAGTAAGTGCCTCTTCTCACATCACAGACTTCTTTCTAAAATAGCTATCACAGGCAATCTATCCGATCCTCATAATTCTCCTAGTTGCTTTGGAAAAAGCCAACTTGGAAACAACAGTCACTGGCTCATCATTCTCTCAGCCAATTAAATTTGCCGAGCCACAAGTCTCCACTGAAACTCACGGTGATGTTCCACCTGATTCCACAACTATTCAACTTGCCTCTTTGAGGTCAGATCCCAACACAGAGGATGTTTTAGATTCTGGTATGGATGATGCTGCAGTGGGACTACCTGTTGAAAATGAGTCATTTGAGGAGATGGAAAAGCACTTTTTTGGTCAATCTGCCTAAGCCTAACAGTCTTTGTTTGGCTTTGATATCTGCTCACTCTTTTACATATATCTGTTTTATTTATCTGTGCTCTATATCTTGTCCCTTCGTTCTATTCTTGAAGATTGAATGTGACGAACATCTCTTCGATAGAATGTGAGTTTGTGGCGAACAGTCTATATGTCGTGAGGGAGAGGAGACCTTTATATGTCTAGTGACCCGGGAGAGTCGTATTAGAGCGCAACTCGAGTCAGAATGTGCTGGGAGGAAGCTCGACTCGGATTTGAAGAGGGAACAAGAGGAGAGAAGAGAAGGTAAAGAGAAGGAGAAGAAGGAGGAGAGCGCACTTCATCAAAGAAGGAGAACTCACTCCGTCAAAAAAGAAGGAAAGGAACCCACCCATTCACATTATTATTCTCTCTCATCGCAACCGTATTCAGGCAACAGTATCACAGCACAACTCGAGTCGGAATTTGAAGAGGGAACAAGAAGACGATGAAGGAGGAACAGGAAGACGGAGGAGGAGGAACAAGAAGACGAATGAAGAGGAATTCTGAAGAGCCCAAGAGCTCAGCTCGAAGGAGGAGAAAAAACTCGAAGAGGAGGAGGAAGATGACGCACCGATTCACATTTTTTCTATTTATTATTCTGACGTCCTATTCATTATTCTGTCGCAGCTCGTGTTCCTCGAAATCCGTTTTCCTCGATCTTCGTCACACTCGCCCGCCAAAAGAGCAGTTCACCATTACGAACGAGAGGTTTGGGTACCACCACAACGAGCGAGACTCAGAGGTTCACGGACAGCATGACGAACGAGAGATTTTGAGGACAGCATGATGACCTACAGGTTCACAGACAGCATGACGAAACGAGAGGTTTCGCAAAGATGATCCTGGAGGCTGGCAATGTAATTGGGTTAGAAATGGAGATATGCAGAATCGGCGACACTTGAGCTTCCAGAATTGCCGTAGGAGCAAAGGTCGAATCAAGGCAGGAGCAAGGGTCGGGATCGCTGGAGGAGCAAAGGTCAGTCCTTTGTTCGGAATAAGTAGAAGGCCGGTATACTTATCTTGTCGTATCAGTACTCCTATGACAATGCCAGTCGTATGTCTCTATGACATTGACAATTGATTGACAATGTCATCGCAGACTACTACTTATGTCACTCCTGCCAAAAACCTGTCAAGCAGTGAAAACCCGTCGAGGAGAGAAAGGACTGCGACTGAGTACTGACGGATCTCGAAGAGAATGAGGACGACTTGACGCGGATCAAAGCGGAGGATGACAACGTGACGCACCGAAGCCCTTTTCCTTTGTCCTGCACAGATCTCGCCAGTCTCGCGCCCAGGGGAAATCGTAGCTATTTTTGGCCGAGGGATCATCGGGATGACCAAAGTCACAAACCGTGACCTAGCTGTGACATGGAACCCTCTTCCGCCCAGGAAAAATATTATGCATTACCGGTAGCGTTCGCCTCTGGGCCTGAATCCAAATCCTTCGAGGCACGTCCTTCCCATCCATATACCAACAATATCACCAGTAGCGCCCATCACTAATCGCGCCCATTCCTTTCCAGGAGGTTCGCATCGAGGATTATTTAGCGGCCTATATGAGCACTGGCCGGCCCCCAGCGCCATATCCTCTTATTCCCCCGACGCCACAGCAACAGCAAATGCTCAAGATTCCACCGCCATTTGAGCCACATTCGATTCCGGCGACAGTGGCGAAAGAGGTGCCTGCGATACAGGTTTGGAGCGCGACGAAGGCGGGGAATGAAGATTTTTATAGCATTACGTGCGAGAATCCGTATTCGCTGTATAGCTTTGAGGTGCGTCATATGTTTTCCCTGTTGCTCATTGCATTGACTGAAACTGAAATTCGGAAATTGCAGGAGCTCCGAATTCGCGCTTATATCGCAGGGAATAAGACGCCCCCTCCTCATTTGACGTTGGTGCCATTTGGTGTCTCGGCTGTCGCGTCAGCAGCAAAGCCCTCGACGCCTGTTATGTCGGCTAGTCCCGCGACGGAGCAATTGGAAAGCTTGTCGACGCAGCCTGCGTATTCGAATCATAGTCTCGAGGTCAGTAACCAACCTGTTTCTTTCTGGAACGGAGAACTGTGAAACCCAATGTTGACTTTTGCTGCTAGGAATTACGCTTTGCGTTTTGGAAGGCGGGACGGCAGCTGACGTCTGAGGAAATCACGCGGGGGGTTGGACCTACGCCGGTGCCGTTTGGCGGAACCGCATTGGGATCTGGTGCCAGTGCTTTGTCTGGTTCTGGTCCTTTTGCCCCCAGCGTTGGTGGAGCGGGGTCTCCATTTGCGCCGACGAGCTCAGCGCCGTTCCCCCCGACAAGCTCAGCGTTTACTGCATTCCGTTAAAAATCCCCATCCATCGTTTTTAAAATTCCTATTTTTTCGATTTGTATAATGTATTGTGTCAAATGTACGTTGTACTGTATCGATTATCGTGTAGATGCCCGTTGGCTTATAAGCTATCATAATATAGCTGGGTGCGGTCGTTCAGTGGCATACGTGAAACTACTCCAAAAATTCGATTTACTCGACCTCCTCCCGGTCAACGCGTGAGGTTCGTAACGTTTTAGACAAAAAAAAATGGACACATTGGGAATTGAACCCAACACCTCTCGCAGAAACTAGAATAGTACCATCTTATGCTAAGCGAGCGTGATAACCAACTACACCATGTGCCCGTGTAAGAACGCTTCTTATCATCAGCATGACAGATATCGCCGATATGTGCATATCCACTCGCTCTTCAAACTTTCGAGACTTCCGGACTCAAAGCCATTTTTTAACTGCAAGACGTCTCGCATGGATTTCGTGACCGATGACTTTGCAGCGCCTCAATAGAGTTGAATCTGACCCGTGGAAAACAACTGCTGGTCTCAAGGAACGTCGAATCCAAGAATAAGAGTATATAAATAAAACACGAAACTTGGAGCGAGGTTCCTTCGATCGCGAGTCGCTGGGGCCGAGGGGACTTGAATTCAGCAGACTTGGTATATCTCTTACTTGGAAATTGCTACGTTTTCTTGAACAAGGAGATTGAATGACTTGAGAGAGATTCATTGATGGAATAGTTAGACTAATGAGCCTTTATGAAACCGTGGGGCAGCCTCGTTCGACTTGTGGCAACACCCACAGCCTTGAGCTGATCCGCTACTTACCACCTCTTATCATGAAGGGAAGTTGTTGATGCATGTGACCTTGGCAATATTTATTGAGATAAGGGCCGATCAGTGATAGTCACTCGCTGTAGGTACGGACAAGTACAGCAAGCTAGTAGAGATACCAAAAGCAAGTACCACGATCACAATGATTCCTTACTCCAATTTCGATTCACTTTCCTGTTCCGAGCTAATCTTTGGGTCTATCAAGATTAAAGATCCAACATATCATCTACACTAACTCAACAGCTGCTCGGGAAGGTGAGCTGCACCAGGTGGGTAGATACACGATATACTATAGATAGCTTTTGGATGGTTGAATCCTACTATGCTTTTTAGTCTCTCAAGCTGGGATGTAACAACTGTTCGTGTAGGGCTTTGCCAGCAGGTACCTGTCGATTGTGTCAGTATCGCAGCCTCCGGATCGAGAGCAAGGGACCCAAACCATCGGAAACACATGTTCATTCCTCTCGACCAAACATTCCATTAGTATGGGCTTCGATCCGTCGTATTCCAGAAACTCCTTCATCTTCGCAGGCAAGTCGGCTGCAGTTTCACACCGAATTGCATGTACTCCCATGGCTTTGGCGAGGAGAACAAAATCGGGGTTGGTCATGCGGGTATGAGAATGCCGAGATTCATAGAAAAGATCTGCAAAAAGCTTAATCATAGGTCACGGTTGCCGATCTTCTACCGACCTTGCAATTGAAGGACCATGCCCTGAAATTCATTGTTGAGAAGCAAGACCTTGACGCCAATACTGTATTGAGATGCGGTGGCGAGCTCCATAGCGGTCATTACGAAAGACGCATCACCGTCAATGTCGACGACGGTCTTTTTGGGAGCGGCAACTTTGGCACCGATAGCGGCTGGTAAACCAAAGCCCATCGTCTGTTCGAATATGAGTGAAACAGAGTTTTGAATTGAAAGTTGAAGAAAACGTACACCAAGTCCGCCTGATGTTACCATAGACTGAGGATGAGTCCAGCGATAATGCTGAGCGGCCCACATCTGGTGCTGACCGACACCAGTGGTCACAATGACTTCTTCCTTCCTGTGAGCCGTCTGCTTGTCTAGCTCCACGACAACCTCTTGAGGTTTGATTCTCGCGCCTGGTTTGCTCGGTTCGAAAGTAAACGGAAACTTGGATTTCCACAAACTGATATCCTTGAACCAAGCTTCACGAGGCGAGGACTTGATCAGGGGAACCAGAGATGCCATGTTTTCGACGACGTCTCCTAGAATGGGAATGGAAGCCTCGACGATCTTGTTCAAGTTTTTGGGCATGATCTCAAAGTGAATAATACCACCTCGACCTTGCAAAGCAGCAGCCTTGGCAGCTGGAGCAAAAGTCTCAACTCTTCCAGTAACACGATCGTCGAATCGACCACCGAGAGCGATAATGACGTCGGCTTGCTGCATCGCTAGATTGGCATAGGCGCTTCCATGCAGACCAAGCATATGGAGACTTCGAGGATTATTCTCGTCGAAGGCACCGAGACCTTGCAGGGTCGTCGTCACCGGGATATTCCCCTGTTCAGCAAGCTCTGCGAGAAGCTTGGGACCGTCTGGGGAAGAAAGAACCCCATTTCCAGCGTAAATGATGGGACGCTGAGCCTGGTTGATCAAGGCAGCGGCATCTCGAATTAGCTGGCTGTCTATCGATGGCTCCAATGGATTCGAAGGTAACCCAAGGTTAACACCAGGGGTCGTCGCCTTGTAAGGTAGAGGTATCTTGAGAATGCCTGCAGTGACATCCTTAGGGAGATCGACAAGGACAGGTCCAGGACGGCCTGAAGTGGCGATTTTGAAGGCCTCGCTGATACGACGAGGTAATTCCGCAATGTCTTTGACCATGACATTCCACTTGGTGCAGCTCCGTGAAATGCCAACGACATCTGCTTCCTGGAATGCGTCTGAGCCAATAAGTGATGTGGCTACCTGTCCAGTGAATACGACCATCGGTACTCCATCGCACAATGCATCTTGCATCGCTGTAATGACATTGGTAGCTCCAGGACCTGAAGTAACCAGAACGACTCCAGGTTTCCCCGTTATACGAGCATAACCTTCTGCCATGTGACCAGCACCTTGTTCATGCCGAGGTAGAACAAAGTCGAAATGAGGGGAATTGTAGATGGAGTCGAAAACGGGAAGGATGGTGCCGCCGGGATAGCCAAAGATTTGCTTCACGTCGTGACGGAGCATCATTTCGTGGAATATTTCACCACCAGAGAGACCAACGAAGGTGTGATCCAGAGGTACATTGGGAGCGGGCCCTGGACCCGAAGGAATGTTTTGCGACTTATGCTGAGGTGCCTGCTGAGATCCAGGTGAAGGTACTGGTCGTCTACGAAAGACTTGTTAGATTGTTGCAAGGAGATGAAGGTTGGAAGCAATACATTGACGGTGCAGGAGCAGCCTTTATCGAAGAAGACTGGCTTATATTCCGCACTCTGGATTTGACCTCAGAGATGGAGTTCGTGGTATAACATCTGACGGCCCCGACTGCAGAGCGACATCGTACAGCACGTTTTGAGACCGTTCGGATAGCAGGCAAAGACATTGCGTCGTTGGGAAAGCCTTGGTGAAGGAGGGAGTCAGACTTTTCTGTCAACTGTTTCGCCCGCTGACTCGAAATCGGCAACCCGGCCGAATTTCTAGTTCGGCCGATCACTGTGCACGGTCACGATGACCCTGCAGCGCCTCACTGGACTTGAATCTGACCCATACACAACGACTCATTCATGAACACGTCTCACTCGTAGGATAAGACTATATAAATTCGATACAGAACTTCGAAGCTTCCTAACTGTAGTCTCAGACCAGACCGTTAGCGAATTGTTTCCAAAAAGGGATGCCGTCGCCAACGGTCTGGATCAAACGAACGGGATAACCGGGACATGACGTGTGACAGCCACTTTTTTTGGCAAGAATTTGCTAACGGTCTGGCCAGAGGCCGAATGGCGCATTTGGCAGACTAGTACTTGGCAAAAGCTTTTCACCTGGAAATTGCGAGGTTTCGTATAATACCAGATTTGAAGCACTTTCTTGAACAACAGCCTTGAATTGATCTTGTCTACTGTGTTTCAGGGCCTATACCATCTGTGACACGGAGTTGAAAAATCTTGTGAAATCAGCCTCGGAAATTCTTTTGGACTGGTTTTGAGTCCCGGTGTTCTCCAGGATATCGAACAGAGTGCTTTTAGTACTGTTCTACCAATTTAGTTTGAGGGGACATGAGATATATGTGGCCCAATAGTCTTACCGGCCCCAGAACACAGTTGAAAAATGATCAATTTCTGGTGATGCCGATATTTTCATCTCTGTGTCGCTCTCGCTTTGCTCTTGGATTGTCCTGATATCTGGCACAAATCCTCTGATACACATCAGAATATATGTGCCTACGCCCCAGAAGTATAGCGTTGAAAATGACACTCTCAGGGGCAGATCAACTTTCTGTTGATGGACCTTGATGGGCGGATTGGATGTCAGAGGAGTTGGTTCTCTGTTCTGTGTCATTTTGAATTGAGATTCCTCATCCAGAGACACTTTGGTATGATGTTACAGAAAGTCTGAAGGTATTCAAACCGCTAGAAGGTTATAAAATCATAGTTTTCAAGTCTAGTACACTTTGTAACCATGTGACACAGATAGTATAAGGGCATTTTTCATCGTTTCTTCGACTGACAGGGTCAAAATGTGGGACAGGACGATGACTCTTATTCGGATGAGGTTCCAACCCGACTGACAGGGAACTCGAAGGGCAATATTATGTTCCATCATTTTGGCCGGCCGAGGTCCTACGGCCTACTACTGACCTCGGCCGGCCACGCTACTCCCGGCAGTCCAAGCTTCGAGATTGTATCTATATCTGTCATTACTCGGGACGCTGTCATCGCCTCGCAGGTTTGACAAGACCGACCGTCAAGCATCTCACTTCTTCAAAAAGTACCGATTTGGATTTATCACCGCTCGCAGTTCCAGAGCTCGTCAGACGTCATGTGAAAGGTGCCAAATGTTGATCGGCAAGTCCTACCTCACTGACGACAAGATTCAGATGTGTGCTTTAATGTCAATCCAGTCACTACTCAATTCATTCTACATCATTTTCCAACGTGAAGTTCTAACCCTCTGTCTTCATAATTGGTCCACAATGTCAAATTCATTTCCTTGCATTCATTCCTTTGCCTTGCATTTGTGGAAGGGATCAGTCTGTTCTCATGAAGAAACATAAAAGAGAAGATAGTAGTGCAACCTGAGGAACAGACCAGGAAGAAAGATGGAGAGACAAGTTCCACTTGACGAACATACATGAATGCAAACCCATAACACCATGTAAGTAATATGACCCTATTTCTCATCGGAAAATACTGCCACTTGGTGGCTGAGAAGAGATCATGTCCATACTGCGCTAGGACAGCAGAAACAGATATGTGACATCACACAACCTGGTACGTGAAACGTGCTTCCTGGATCAAGGCTCCGAGAGGCCCGAAAGGATATGAAACATCACCAAATGA